TGTGTCCATCTCTCTGGAGCAGGGTTGCAGGGGCACAGAAATAACCTTATTATAGCAACACAGCCCAAAGTACCTTTCTTTAAAAAGCAGCACAGCCCAAATGACACGGCTGCCAGCAGGCGTCCCGGAGCTAAGAAACGCTGAGTGGATCTGTTAGGAGACCTCGCTCTCATTCTCCTAAGGGAACTTCTTTTAATTATATGAAATTTTCCCTGACTTCAGAAATTAACCCCCAAATAATCTCCTACCCTTGACCCCCTAGGAGCCATGATTTAGTCTCAGCCAAACATCCTCTGTCCCATTAGCTTAAGGTTATTAACTTAGAACTGTAAGGTATGAGGTTCAAGACAGCTGTATAGTCAAATCGTTATTACAATATCTGTGTGCATATATAATTATAACATTATTTGCATTTACTCTGATATCCCTGATTTATTTCTGCATGTTCAGGATAGAAGGCAGAGAAGGTGGCCTTTAGTTTATGCTCAGAGTTATTCTCAGCACACTCTCGGACAGTAGAAGGGCACAGATAGAGATTAGAACTATTTGCTTCCAAATTTCAAAACTGAGTTTTCATTGTTAATGATGTTACTTCTTTGCTTTTTCTAAGGTGTGTGTTTTCAGTACCTCCGTGAGGAAAGAACCCATTTTCCAAAATGGTGTTTGGGATAGTAGGGAATGAGTATCCCCGCCCTTTACCTTACAGTCCTGGGGGAGTGCAGGGAATCGAAATCCACTCTAGAACTCTCTTTCTGAAGGACTTTTCCAATTAGTGGGATGTACGGGGTGTTCATAGCGATCCGTGGTTAACCTCTCCTTTTATTGAAGCAGGAAACAACCAGGACTCGGTGAGCTCATGGAGCACAGAGGGCTGACTCTAGATGGGAAAATTAGGAGGCCAATGGATTTCTAAGGAGCTAAGATGTTATAGGTTATTATCGTGCATTATTCCACATGCTTCCTTTATGAATCCAAGCAGGAACTACAAGCTATTATTAGAAAAGCAAGCTAAATAGTTTGGGATGGACAACCTCATATCCTCATATCACTCACCTCCCATTAAGAGAACCGAGCTTCCTGCCTAAGTGGGTGTTCTTTTTTTTTTTTTTTTTTTTTTTTTGAGACAGAGCCTCAAGCTGTCCCCCTGGGTAGAGTGCCGTGGCATTACAGCTCACAGCAACCTCCAACTCCCGGGCTCAAGCGAGTCTCTTGCCTCCGCCTCCCAAGTAGCTGGGACCACAGGCGCCCGCCACAACGCCCGGCTATTTTTTGGTTGCAGCCGTCGTTGTTTGGCGGGTCCGGGCTGGGGATTCGAACCCGCCACCTTAGGTGTATGTGGCTGGCGCCTTAGCCGGTTGAGCTATAGGCGCCGAGCCCTAAGTGGGTGTTCTTAAGTATCACTGGTTACTTACTCCCACTTAATTCTCACTTTATTTTAGCTTCAGGATTTTTTTCAGATAAAATACCTTGGAAAAGTCTCTAAGAGATAGAAATCTTATTTTATTTGTTTTGGGAAATAAGTGCATTGGAGAATTAGATTCGATACTGAGTTATGTCGCTGGCTGGTTGAATACTTAGGGCAACATTCTTTATCTCTGTAGTCTCTTTCCTCTGTCTGTCAAGCGTGAGATTTGAACTCTGTCATCCCTGTGGTCTCTTCTAGTTCTGAATTTCTGTGAGTTTGTATATTTGGCAAAAGACCTTGCTATGGTTATATTTCTACATAAGCAGAGGAGAACAATTTCTCTAAAAAGGTGGACTGAGACCTTTATGGAATGGTCATTCAGCTTCATCTTGCTTAAGATTGAATGCTATTTTCAACTTCTACGCTGTAAGTGTCTTCACCATTATTAAAGCTCCTGGTATACACACATGGGACGTTAGAATGGAACATGGTGACATAATGAAACTTCCCTCTCAATTCATCTCAAACCTATCTAGTGAGTGAAGCTTCACCTCTGTGTCCTGAAATCTGGTAGGGAGTGCGTTCTCTTACGCCAGGAGGACTGCCGCTGTGGAAGGCCCTGTGGCAGGGGTGTCTTGGGTTCAGCGCTCTGTGAACACAAAACATTAATAGCTAAAGGTCACCAAGTGTACCTGGGAGAGGGAATGAACACCGGGGCCCAGTCCAAGGAAGGACAGAACAATGTATTATGAAGAAAACAAAGAATAAGTGAAGCCAGCTGAAAGGCAGAGCTGTGGGGACGTTTGTGTGACGGTTGTGCAGAGTGAGTGAGTGTAGATTGAACCACTTCCGTATCAACATACAAGGCCTCACTCTCCTTTCTACAAACATGGCATCTTGTTGCACTGGCGTCTTCTAGCCCATAACTGAGAAAACGTCACATTGTCTTGGAGCTGGTCAAGGGGAACTTGATTGCTGACAGGCATGAAAGGTCCTCAAGGGCAATGACCTTCTTCACACTCCTGTGGCCTCTAACTCAGGAATTTCATTTTAGCCAGACCATGGTATTTATCTTACAAGAATGGCCCATCTTCACGTATAATTCTGCTCTGGATCTACCTCCTACGGACCCTGCTGATAATACCTGTTCCGTGTAATATCTTTAACGTACTGAATTGTATTGCAATCCTGTTTCTTTTAACCGTTTCATTCTTTTAATGTTCCCATGTCTCATCCTCCCCTTTTTTCTAGTCCTGTGTTATTACCTGGAGAACTTTTATTGTTTCAGTTTCTTTAATGAAAGGAATTCCAGACTTATGAGTGAAAATATATTTCAAAAATAAAATATCCATGTACTAAAATTTGTTTGGAATATACCAACAGAAAGAATTATAAGAACTAGCATTTATTGAATTTTCCCTGGGTTCTAAATGAAGTACCAAATTCTTTACTTAATGTTATCTCACTTGTAGAGTTTCTTACTGATAAAAATATTGATTACTACTATTAATCTATCAAGTATTAGGTAGCCTTCTTTAGTTCACGTATTTTAGCAGAAAACTGATAATGGTCTTGTAAGGCACTATACTATGCTCACATAATTGTGTGTTATTAAGTATACAGATAAATCCCAAACTTCTTATGCCTAAGACATTTGGCACGTGGAAATGTACAAGCTTTTCTTGAAAGATAAATCAAGGTCAGGGTTGGCTTCCTCTGCGGCCTGTCACTTGGATAAATTCTATCTCGTAACGTCAGACCACTTTAGTGTCTGACTCACTGCTCTCCCATCTTTTCTGAGCAATGGGATTCCGTGTCTCTGGGTTAACTTCTCCATCTACCCCTTCTCATTCTCTTTCTCCCATTTCTAAATTTTAACCACAGAGTACGTCTTTCCAATCAGTTTGATCAACCAGGATGTGATGTTGATTGTCTGAGTTCATTTCCTTAACTCTCTTGTTCCTTTATTTTTTTCATTTTATATAGTTAAACGTTAGCAGAAACACCAATATATTTCTTTGTTGTAATTGCCCTTTTAAATGGCATTTGTTTTTGTAGTAATGCATGTTGGAGGCTGATTTCATGTACAGCCCAGTGGATGGAAATGTATTCTCAGGAGGTTTCACATCTCGTGCCCTGCGTGCTGTGTTATAGCAGAAGGCCAGGCCAGGTCAGCGCTCACACAAACCGTCAGGGAAATGTGCAGAACTAGCTGGAGGTTCTGAGTCCACAGCAGCCAGACCGGCATAGAGGCTGTCAGAATAATAATACGTCACCATGGCAAGGACCATGTTGGAGTCGGAAGGTCATAATCTCCGCGGCAAACATGGGGCTGAAATGTGGGGCTCACCACACCCGGCACCTGCCACAGGAGCAGCTGTGGGTTCAGGGCACCACCTTGCTTTAGTGGGGTCAAGTTGCTCCCGCTGGGGTGTCTCTCTGTGAGTGAGTGCAGCACACAGCACTTGAGTGAAGAAGGTTGTTCTAGGAGAGATGTGAATCATGTACAATAACAATGTTGAATTTGAATAGCAATAGATGTCAATAATGCCTAAAAAGTAGGAAACCCAAATTATAGGCTATTTCAGTTTTTGAAAAGTAGAAAAGCCAAGTGTTTGGTGCAGCCCTGGACGAGCCATCTGTTCAGCAACCTTCCTTAGCTAATGCACAGAGGGAGCAGCAAGAGTCTTCAGCGGGCGCACACCCCTCGCTCTGTCTTCAGTGGGCAGACACCCCACTCTGAAGTGTCCTCAGTGGGCGGACACCCCACTCTGAAGTGTCCTCAGTGGGCTCACACCCCACTCTGATGTGTCCTCAGTGGGCTCACACCCCACTCTGATGTGTCCTCAGTGGGCTCACACCCCACTCTGATGTGTC